CTTTTTTGGTTTTGGAGATATCCAAAAATTCCTAAAAATTCAGGAATTTTCGGATATCTCGAACACCAAAAAAGCTATCGGAAATTGGCCAACTACAGTATTGCTCAGCATGAAATTTCACACATTTTATCAGTTGACAACATTTCGATAGCTACCGTAGTTATTGAGGTATGTGCCTTTAAAGTTTTCCACCATTTTTGGGGTCAAATTTTCTGATTTTTTGAGTCAATCTTCCCAAATTTCAGAGAAGACCGCCCTTGTTTCCAATGTCGTCTAGATCTTCGCTGTTATCTTAACAATGTGTACTCAGTTTTGGATAATCTACGTATTACAAAAGCCAAACCAACTGATGAGCAATTGAAATATGTCCCTCAACACTGGTTTTGTCAACTGGAGACTAAAAAAGAGCGATTTCAAATTATCGATTATTCACTTTTTGTGGATCCTAAGGATTCTGAGAATTCCGCAAAGCTAAAAAAGGTAAAAAAAAACACCTATTCCCACCTAATTCTGACCCAAACTTCACGATTTTTGGCTTAAAGTGAGTCTGAAAATGCCTTTTTTAGCGTAAAAGATTACTGTAGATTGAAGTCATAACTCAATTCCAATAGCCTGGTACAGTAATCCTGACTAAAATTTCACGATTTTTGGCTCAAAATGAAGCTAAAATGCTCAATTTTGAGCTTAAAATCGTCGAAAAAGCACTCAGAACCTTCTGGAACCTCTTGAGACCGCCGAAACCTCGAAAGCCGCGGTTTAGGCCACAGTTAGGCCGCTGTGGGCAAATTAGGTGATTAGCTACACAGTTAGGAATCCCACCAAGACTGACAAGTCTCAGCTTTCCTGATTACAATACTTCTGGGGAGGATACTGTAGCTTGGTGGGTTACAGTAGCCTACTTAGCGCTTTTCAGCGATTCCAACGAATCTTTCCCTACAAAATATCCACAAAATTCGATTTTCAACGATAGATAAAGTCTGTTACAGTAGTCCCTTTGAAAAGACCCAAAACTACAGTAATCCTGACTCAAAAATCGTGATTTCTGGCTTAAAATGAAGCTGAAATGCTCCATTTTGAGCTTAGAATCGTCGAAAAACCGTTCTAGGCACTCCCAACCTTCTAGAGCTGCATGAGAACGTCTTGAAGACCTTAGGGTCGGCGCGGTCTAGGCCGCTAGGCCGCCAGTATTAGGCCCTAGTGTATTTAACAGCTGATTAGGTACACAGTTGAGCCTTTTCAGAGCGTTTCGATTGGCTAAACGGTAAGGAACTCCACCAAAACATTACAGTACTATTTTGGGATTGATAGGTTACTGTAGCTTGACTTTAAAAACCCCTTTTCCCGCCTAATTCAGACCCAAATTTCTCAATTTTCACATCAAAAACCCAAAATTGCCTAAAATCATGAAAAATTGTTGAAAAAAATTTTTTTTGTTGAATTAAAAAAAATTTCTAAAATCCGATTTTTTTGAAATTTTTCAAAAAAAAACAAATTTTCAGCCAAATTGAATTTTAGGCTAATTCTGACCCAAAGTTCTCAATTTTCCCATCAAAACCGCCCAAATTTTGCCTCCTAACCCTCTAAAATATTCAGATTCCCGATGCCGATGAGATATTCGCTGAAAATCGGTCGTCCTATGAGAAAATTCGAAAATTCTACACCGTATTCTTGCATAGCCGACCGGATGTGCTGGATTTATTCGTAAAAACGTATTATTGGGATTATTTAATGCTGAAAATGCCCCTTCCAGAGCCGAAAGTCGCCGAAGTCCGAGATTATAAGGAGGGATGGCATTGAGGACTTTATTTTTGGTTTTTTTCTCAATAAATAGTTGATTTTTGATCGGAAATTGGTTTTTTGCAGTGAATTTTGGCCCAAAAACAAGGTGTTGAGCCAAAAAATATTTTTTTTTAATGCAATATTTTTTGCAAAAATTTCCAACTTGAATTTTGGACTTTTTAATCATTATATAGAGTTTTTCAGCAGTTTTCCTCAAATTTAAACCAGTTCTAACACAAAAAATAGAGAGAAAACCTAAAAAACAGCCAAAAAAAAACCCCAAATACGGAAAAAATAATACAAATTGGCGCCGGCACGAGAAGTGCGCCAGCACCTCACGAGACATGCGCCAACAATCGCGTTTCGGGTCAGTAACCGCCGGCTTTCGAGTCAACGTGTCCGCAATATTCATCGAATTTTCCAGCGATTCTCACGTGATTTTTCAGATTTTGAGCTAAAAATATTGATTTTTTAATGAAAAAACGAATTTTAAGCTGAAAATAATAAATTTTTCATTGATTTTCACCCATTTTAACCGAATTTTGACCCAAATTTTCCAGAAAAATCGATATTTTGTAAAACACCCGATTTTCTTGCAGATTCATCATGGTTTTAGCGGATTTGGGTCGAAAAATTCGAAATGCGATCGGAAAACTTGGTCAGAACACGGTTATCAACGAGGAGGAGCTGGATTTGATGCTCAAGGAGGTGTGCACCGCGCTCATTGAGTCCGATGTGCACATTCGGCTGGTTAAGCAGTTGAAGGATAATGTTAAGTGAGTTTTTATGGGAAAATTGTTAAAAATTGAGTAAAAATCCCGGAAAATCGCCGAAATTTCAAAATTCTCAGTTTTCGGGCGTTTTTTTGCTAGGTTTTCCGAAGAAAAAAGCCAGAAAATGGCTCTCACAAGGTCCAGAAACGAACATCTCAGCCAAAAATTGCTGAAAATCTGAAAAAAGGCACTAAAATCCGTAATTTACATATTGGAAGTGATTTTCCCGAATTTTCAACCGTTTTTTCAGCAAAAACTGATATTGCCGCTAATTTTCAACCGATTTTCCCGGTTTTTTCGGTCTTTTTCACCCGATTTCTCCTCAATATTTCGAAAAAAAAGGAAAATTGCTGAAAATCCTACATTATTTTTTTTTCTTTTTTAACATTCTTTTTTCTTGGATTTCTGCAAAAACTTTGGGAAAAATCCATGAGAGTTGTACAAAATCTACTAAAATCCCTGAAAAATGTTCCGAAATTCATGAAAAATGGACTAAAATCCATGAAAAATAGTCCGAAATCCATGAAAAATGGTCTAAAATCTATGAAAAATGTTCCAAAATCTATGAAAAATTATCCAAAATCCACGAAAAATGTTCCGGAATCCATGAAAAATGGTCTAAAATCCCTGAAAAATGTTCCGAAATTCATGAAAAATGGACTAAAATCCATGAAAAATGTTCCGAAATTCATGAAAAATGGACTAAAATCTATAAAAAATGGTCTAAAATCCACGAAAAATTATCCAAAATCCACGAAAAATGGTCTAAAATCCTTGAAAAATGTTCCGAAATTCATGAAAAATGTTCCGAAATTCATGAAAAATGGACTGAAATCCATGAAAAATAGTCCGAAATCTATGAAAAATGTTCCAAAATCTATGAAAAATGGTCTAAAATCTATGAAAAATGTTCCAAAATCTATGAAAAATGTTCCAAAATCTATGAAAAATGGTCTAAAATCTATGAAAAATGTTCCAAAATCTATGAAAAATGTTCCAAAATCTATGAAAAATGTTCCAAAATCTATGAAAAATGTTCCAAAATCTATGAAAAATGGTCTAAAATCTATGAAAAATGTTTCAAAATCTATGAAAAA